ATATAGAACTGAAAGTTATTTTCAACTTTTGCCTAAATTCTTAAAAATCTAATGTTTACAGTTAAACAAAAGTGCACACTCTTCCAATTGCAATAAACAATTCTTATAGTTGGAGTTGTCATTTCCTAGAATTATCATTACCAAAAATTGAGTAAATGCAAAAAAATGGCTCTCTTTATAGAGTGCTTTTTAATGAGATTAAATTAGGAATGTTAAGAAAAACTAATCACAGCATGTAAAGCAATTTCACTTTCACTGTCATAGGTAGTGTGGAATTGTTAAACTAAATTACAGTACATGTATTAAGAAAGACTATCCTTTCCATTTATTACACAATGTGGGAATTTCATTTTTGCTACATGCCAATTAATTCACATTTCAATGTACTTTGAGGGATTTGGTTATACTTAGAAGTAAAAAATTGCTGGCATGTCAGTATTATAGATTGCTGCTTAATCAGACTGTATTTAAAACTGCAGTTAGGTCACCAGTTGTTTCCATAACCTTATGATGTCAAATATAAAAACATATATTACAATGTTCACTCAAACATCAAATATGTTTTCATTTTCTAAGTTTATCTCAAATTGTGTCAGAATAAAGTGTGATCATATATATTGCTAGCTTTTATAACGCTACTGATAAGTCTCAAAATTATTAATAAAACAGGAATTGCACTCATACTGCACTATAATCATATTTATATTAATTCAAGGAAGCTTTTTTTCAGAAACAAAAACACTTTAAATTAATATAATCTGAAATTACTTGTTTGTTGCAAATAGTACAATGGTGATAACATTCTAGACTTTAACATAATGAACTCCAATCATTTTTGATAAGTCATTTGTTGACATACAATCTATCCTTCCTTACACATTAACCAATACTACTATAATTAACCATTAAACCAAGGAATTAGAAATGACAAATTATTTATTAGGCAAGAGTTTCCATTATATGCCATAAAATATTTTTAAAAGTATCCCAAGCCAACACAGATGAAATCAACAGGTTATAATCACACATACATGCATCCGTGGAACGAACACAACAAGCAAATTGACTTCTATTCAGAAGGACTAAATGGTATACAGAGGACAAAAAGTTAAAAAAAGCTGTGATTTTTAGCTGTGTGAGCTAAAATCTACTTACATGAAATTGGATCTAGCTTAATGTAGTTCAAATAATCAAAAAACATGATTTAATTTTTAACTATAGAAAATTAATATGGTTCCATTAACTCATAAAGCTCTAATAAGCATTCTATTTACCATTTTGTGAAGAAGTAAATATAGAGGAAAAATCTCTGACTTTGCAGAAACAACTTGGTTTCTATCAGAATATTCCATATGCAGAGTGCCATCCAAACATACCAACCAATAAAAAAGAGGGAAAACTATTTTCATCAATTTCCCTCTGTAAATCCTGTGCTACTCGTTAAACTGTTATAGAATAGCCTAAAACCTGTGGAATAGATTTTCAGGCGCAAAGAGATCTGGAAAGAAGGGGAAAGGGTGAAAGGAAACAGGCCTTTTACCCCAGATCATCAGCAGAAATATTTTGTCAGAATATTTTGTCTATATTCCAACTGAATATAGATCCAAACTGTATTACTTTTATATTTAGCATGCATTTATTGTGGCTTCCTCATGGACTTACACAGTATTTATCACATATACAGAATCCCTCACACAGTATATATCCATTTTACCATGTACTTTCCAGAGTTACACAATAGGCTTATTTCTCAGATTATAAATTATTATTCTACCAAATATCACCAACATTTAATATTTCCACCCAATAAACTGAAGCCTCTTTTTGAAAGCATTTAAGGTTGCAGCCCTACACAGTCTTACATAAGGGGAATTCCTTTGAGTTGAGTGGCCCATTTACATAAACATGATAGGACTACCCTATTGAAATGTAATCTTGTTTAAGGGTCCCTGCATTTGCCTAAATCACATCAAACAAAAGTCCATTAATTTCAGATCCCATCCCCTTTTCTATATACAGTGCTGTGCAAAAGATGCCGTTGAGTTGCATAATATTAAAAATGTGAAATGCTGCATAACAAGACACCAATACAAACATATTGGATCAGAAAATATGAATCACATTTCCACTTTTCGCATTTAAAAGTGAAAGGTCTTAGCTAGATTATTTTCATATATGCACGTGGACACACACACGGAATTTAAGTATGGTATACATTATTAGAGTACTCTAATAATTATTAGAGCACTCTAATACATTATTAGAGTACTCTAATACATTATTAGAGTACATACACAGGTTTACTTCTCAGTGAAAAAGTATCAGAGAATCTCAGGGTTCTGGGCTAGATTGGGAAAGTGTAAGCCAGCACTGATGACAGCAATTGTGAGCTATAGGCATACTGTTGCCAAGAAAATGACAGAAACATGTCAATAAAGCCACTTGAAAGAAATTTCACTTTCTTCTAGTTAATAGAGTTGCTTCTAGATCTTATGCGCAGTATTTAAAGGCCCGTATTGATTTAGAAGATAAATACAAATTGTTTTTCATTTTTTACAGTATAACTACAAAATGAGGAATAATAATAATAATGATGATGATGGTGTTATTGGAAGGGACCTTGGAGGTCATATAGTCCAACCCCCTGCTCAGGCAGGAAACCCTATACCATTTCAGACAAATAGTTGTCCAGTCTCTTCTTAAAAACTTCCAGTGTTGGAGCATTCACAACTTCTGGAGGCAGGTTGTTCCACTGATTAATTGTTCTAACTGTCAGAAATGTCACCTTAGTTCTAGGTTGCTTCTCTCTTTGTTTAGTTTCCATCCATTGCTTCTTGTCCTGCCTTCAGGTGCTTTGGAGAATAGCTTGACTCCCTCTTCTTTGTGGCAGCCTGTGAGACGTTGAAATACTGCTATCATGTCACCCCAGTCCTTCTCTTCATTAAATTAGACATACCCAATTCCAGCAACCGTTCTTTATATGTTTTAGCCTCCAGTCCCCTGATCATCTTTGTTGCTCTTTTCTGTACCCTTTCTAGAGTCTCAACATCTTTTTTACATCGTGATGACCAAAACTGGATGCAGTATTCAAAGTGTGGCCTTACCAAGACATTGTAAAGTGGTATTAACACTTCACGTGGTCTTGAGTCTATCCTTCTGTTAATGCAGCCTAGCACTGTGTTGGCTTTTTGGCACCTGCAGTACACTGCTGGCTCATATTTAAGTGATTGTCCACTAAGACTCCAAGATCCCTCTCATAGTTATTACTATAACATGTATGGTACAGCATAAAAGCCATTTTTTCCCCTTTTTAACCTTAGAAGTACGAAAACCAAAGTTTTTCCCCCCAGTTAGAATGTATGAATATAATAAGGTGATACTGGTAGATGGAATGTTTCTCACTTTTATTATTTTCATAAATAACTCAAGGCAGCAAACATGTCTAATATTCTTCCTCCTACCCACAACGATTCTGTGAGTGACTGGCCCAAACTCACCTAGCTGGCTTTCATGTCGAAGGCAGGAGTAGAATTCACACTCTCCAGGTTTCTAGCCCAGTGCCTTAACCATTACACTAAACTGCCATCCTACCATCATTTTTATTGGTTTTGTATGGCACATACTGGAAAGGAAAAACACACAACCCTTTTGTAATTCCTACCCTATCAAGAGGTAGGAATTTTAATTTTTGCTTTTTAATAGAATAAGTTTTATTCTATTAAAATACAGCATACTCCATTTAATCCTCCAGGGAAAGATTGAAGGCAAACGAGGTCCAGGCAGAAGAAGAACATCGTGGCTTCAAAATCTAAGGGACTGGTTTGGACAAAACTCAGCAGCACTTTTTCGTGTGGCTGCTGATAAAAACAGGATCGCCAACATGATCACCAACGTCCAATAACGTTTTATAATAAATTGATTATATGCAAACATGCTTAAGAACTATAATGTGTATTATATGTTTATCAAGTGCACATCTTAATTGGCTGGAATTTATTGTGTGACAATCAATCATGGCTTTCCAGTAACCCACATTTTAAAAAGTAATGTTTAGCATAAAAAGATAGACTCTGAAATCCTTCATTACTATATAGCATCTTATATACAGAATAGATTACAGACTACTAAAATGTATAATCATTTACTACCGGTCATAGCAAAACAATTCAACAATGTATGTCAACAAAGCTTAGCTAAACTTAAAGGATACAATTATACAAACTGAAGTTTAAGTCTCTGAGCTAGCGGTCTTCCTAACAATTACACAATAACTGAGTAGCAATAGAAACATCAGTTATGAAATACATGAACCACATCTAGTAGTTAATATTTCATAATCAATATACACTGTTCATTCGGAGTGCTCGCCTGCCTTCTCTTCCCTCACATTTCTCTATTTCAAAGTTTGGACTCTAAACAGAAAAAGGGACATTCCAAATATTTCCTTTGGGACTGAAGAAAAAGACTTCAGACCTACCCATCCTCTTATCTGGTTATGTAGAACCAGAACTCAAAAAAAAAAAAAAACTTCCTCGTTCCGTTCTTTTAAGCTAAAATGTATGGCTCTTCTTTTATTTCTTTGGGATTCACACCGAGAGGATCTACATATAGATTAAATCCGGGGCCAGTAGTTGAGTCCTTTCTTTCTTTCTTTCTTTCTTTCTTTCTTTCTTTCTTTCTTTCTTTATTTATTTATTTTTGCAGGGCTTGTCGCGGAATCATGCGAACAAAACCGAATTATCTCATTTTTATAGAGACACCGAGGGCTTTCAACTGTCTTCCCAATCCAAAGCTTAGCCAGATCAGCCCCCCCCCCCATCCTCATCCTTGCCATCTTGGTTGTACTGCAATAAAATGAAAGGGCTCTTTCCCCCCCCCCCCACCCCACTTCAGACAATCGCATTATACACACACCTCAACCCCGACTTTCCGACGGCACCTCTGTCCCCTTCCCTAGCTACCACTTACTTTTCCCACGGCCAAGGCCGTCCAGGACTTACCAAGCTTCCCACGGGATTCCTCCAGTTTCTGAATCTGGTTCTCTAGGAAAAGGACGGACACCCCGAACGCCATCACCGCCAAGAGCTGCAACTTAGGCGGCAACATAATCCGGAGCAGCCCCATCGGCGGCTGCAGCGGCAGCAGCAGCCGCCGCCGCCGCCGCCACCTGAGTGCCGCCTCCTCGGTCGCACGTCCGCCTGGAGATCACGACATCACACGAGGCGGGGGGGGGCTGACAGGGGAGACCAGGGTGGTTGGGGAACAGCCTCTGCGGGAGACAAACAAAAAAAAAACCGGCGGCTGCAGACGAGCGAGGGGAGAGCCCGTCGCCGGGGAGAGCTCGCGGGAAGAACTGGGGCTTCTCACATTCCTCACGAAACCTCGTGACGGCGGCTCCGCGCGTTTCGCCACACGCCCACCCGACAACCTGACCGCCTCCGAGCAGCTCAGTCCGGCAACCCCGCTCCGCACACGGTCCCAGGCACGCGCCCCGCCACCCCAGCCACCAATTTGCGTGCGCTGCTCAGCAACCGAACGCCCGGCCGTACTCACGCCCCCTTTCGCTTACCCCGGACCAGCCAGAATACAGATTCCACCCCAAAAGGTAACGTCCATTGGCTACCACTCCCCTTGTCCTTCTTCGGTTGGCTATGCATCCCATCCGCCCGCCTACAAACGCTTCCTTCACGTAACTTGGAAGGAACTGAGCCGACATCCCTTCTAGCCCTTTACTTACTGATTGGACAAACTTGTCCCGTAGGCCTAAGCTACTTTCCCTTAGGGTATTGGATGCGGCCGTAAAGGCGAATGTTAATGTTCCCTGTGTGATTGGTCTGTCGTCTTGTCAATCTCTAGGCACCATTCGCTAAGGAGAGTAGGTAGTTCTATTCCAAAGCGTCCAAAAAAAGTGCCTGAAAAAAAAGAGAGAGTGAGTGGTCTTGGAAGGCATGTAAATTGTTTCTTGCAAATTCCAATATGTTCTTCCCCTTCTCGAATTTTTTTTACACTGGTCAGTTCCGTGTGAATGGGAGAACCGTATGGATATTTCCTTTGCTCGAAACAGGCAGTACTTAGGTCATCCTGCCGGTATAGGGGCCTAATCAATAGAATGCCTGTGCTGACCGTCTGTGCCAACATGGCGATTCGAGAGGGAGCCATGGGGTTTGGCCGTTACTGGCTTTGGTTGCTAGCGACGCTGCAGGCGGTAAGAAAGCACCGTTAGAACGAGGAAAGTAGCGACGATGAGTTGGGGAGCAGCCAGAGGGGGTCTTGAGGCGAATATATTTCTGCTCATTATTTTTGACTCGCTATTTCTTCGACTTTCCGGCTGTTCCTTCCCGAAAAGATTGCAAAATGCAGATGCGCTTGATTTTTTGGAAAAAAGTAAAAAAGTTGAGCTGGATACGGCCCTTGTTATATCTTAGCTAAACGCTTTGGAATCAGCGTAAAAGCTTGTCGTGGTTTTACTCGAATAAGTATGCTAAGTCTTGTAATCGATTCAGTATAATTATTTCGGTGTTCGCCATTGGCTATATTGGGTAGGTTTCCCCCCCCCATTTTTAATTTCTTAGTCGTACTAAGGAACATATTGGGGGGGGGAGAATGAATTCGATATATGAATACTTTGGAACAGATTTATTTATTTATTTATTTATGAGATTTACATACCGCTTTAAGTGCAAGCACTCTCTAAGCGGTGTACACCAGTAAGCAATGTATATATATTTACATTGCCCCCAACAATCTGGGTCCTCATTTTACCTACCCCGGAAGGATGGAAGGCTGAGTCAACCTTGAGCCTTGGAAATATAGTTAATAGAACTTTACATAATAAGTTAATTAAATTTTATTAATGTTCTTAATGTATATACCCCCCCCCAATTCCCAAAGACGCTATTTGAAGTGATTAGATCTTTAATTTCAAGACCAAAATCACATTCATAGTTTCTACTTATCTGTACACAGTTTGCTTGCTAGATGGGTCTAGGTGGCTTATAGGTCAATAGTAAAAGCGCTACTACCCTAACAGCCTGTTAAAACCAAAATTAAAAAAAATCTAGCCAATTATATATAGTAACTGAAACTATAACAATGGCATTAAAAGGCTTGAGAAATAAACTATAATTGTAGAGTTTTGTGACTTGACACACCCATCCTAGGAGCCTTTGTAACTGGGTAAATCTCCCACCACCACCATAGTAGCAGTTTTTGTGGGCATTTATACTATTATTTCACCCTTGCAAGTAAGACTTGAATTGTGGGGGCAGTGGAAACTTTTGAAGTGGCAAGTTAAAGCCCCATGTTCAGAAAAAAAAAAAAAACCTTTCTGGATGATTTTGGTCTACTCACTAGCCTTCAACCCAATTTGCCTTGCAAGGCAGTTATGAAAATAAAAAAGCAAATGAGCCCTTTGAAGAACAAGATTTTTTTTTGTATAGATTTTATTAGTTTTTATAGGGTTGGGGATAAGGTGGGGTCAAGATTAGGGTTGGGATTTGGGTTAGGGTTGAGGTTAGTTAGGGTTGTGGTTGGGATTTTTCCAAATAATATTTTCAGTATTTAACAAACAGCATAATGTCTGGGTACATGCACTTAACTAACAATAATAGATATAGTTAATTATCATAAACAATATGATAATTAACTATATTCAAAATTACATAACATGTTCCTTTCTCTCTGACTTGTTTTTCTAGCCATTGATAGAAATTATCCCATGTTCTAAAATACAGAGTCTTCTTTCTCTTTAATCTTTAAGGTCAATCTATCCATTTCTGCGCACTCCAAAATTTTCTTAATTAATACTTTTTCTGTTGGTAAGTTTTCATTTTTCCAATGTTGGGCAAATATAGTTCTTGCTGCCGTTAATATGTGTAGTATTAGATCAGATCTGCAATAAGAACAAGATAAATATTTAATTGCTAAATGAAGAACATAACACCACCTCTCCACAAATTCATGCTGGGCTTTCCAAAATAAACGACATAAGCCGATTCTCAAACCATTATGAGCTCATAGCTCATTATTCACTAAACTCAAAGGGAACAAATTAAAGTTAGTAAAGATAGCAAACCAGTCAGACAGGATAAATACAACAATTCCTGTGGCAATAAACCTCACATAGCAAATAGGTAAATTAGTGAATATGCTTCCTGTTTACCTGAGTCCTCTCAAAAGAGTAATCGTAGATTTTGTTTGCAGTGGGAAATGGAAGATCTTGAAACTATGTTATTTAGAAATTGTTGATATGGATACTGAAACATTAGAGATATCTATGTTAAAGTGATTGCATAAATCTTACTTGATTTCAGATATCTGCTTATGGAGCAGAATTGTCATCGGAGGCATGCAGAGATCTTGGCTTTTCCAGTAATTTGTTGTGCAGTTCTTGTGACCTTCTTGGCCAATTTGGCTTGAATCAGTTAGATCCATTCTGCAGAAAGTGCTGCCAAGAGGAAGCTCAATCTGAAACTAGAAAGGTAGGTTTCATTGTTATGTTTAAATATCTGAGCTAAAATGTGTTTTAACTATCCTGTGATATAAGATTATTTATACTGAACGTTTTTATTAAATCTTAATACTGTAAATTTTGCCAACAGAAGTTTGTTGGCATTTTCATTTGGTTAAGCCAGTACTGATTTTCCTAAAACTTTAAGGTCAAATATGAGTCAGCCAGCAGTCTGCTTTCTGTATCTTAGGGAGTCTGTTAAGTTTGAGCAAAATGAAATACAATCAGTTAAATGTTAGATTAAATACAATCAACTGAAGAGAAAGTTGAACAGATTCCATTTGTTAGCTTAACAATAATACATTGCTATTTACTGAAAACGTTTAGAAGATTTTGTTAAATAGCTAGTTACGTTTCTTTTAAATATCAGCTCCTCGGGGTAAAAACCAACTATTTGTTGATGTTGTAATAAATACAGTATATGTGTTTATTGTGCATGTTACAATAGAAGAATATTTTTCCTATCTAAAGAAAGGAAAATATCTATTGTATTTCAGATCTGAATATTTCCATTATGGCAAGTGATGAACTTTTTCTGTATAACTGTTCTTACTGCCATTCAGGAGAAGCCAATTATTTATATAATTATTGGTAATAGTCATCCCCCATTGGTGTGAAATCAAAATGTATTGTTTCTATTCTCGAGGCATCATTATCAGGTGCCACACAACTAAATGCAATTAAAAACATTTATTAGTACAACAATGAAATATTTGCAGAGAAGTAATTTATCTTGTGCTGGACCAGAGTGATAAGAATGCCCAGTTCATTGTAAAGACATTTCTGAAAGAGTCCTCTGTGCTTTGAATAGCATGCTTAGTAATTCAGAAATTCTGTTTCAAGAAACAAAATTTATTAGGTTTCTTAGATTTATTTAGAGAGGTTTAAGAATTACATGACATACAGTCGGAAACTTCTCAGAATATTTTGTCTTTCTAAAAAGGCATGAATGAAAACTGTTTGGCAACTTTTTAAAAAAGCTGATACTTTTTATTATATAAACACTGTATAAGCAACACTTCAAAAAATTGACTTTCACAGGTTGTACATGTACAATGAATTGCATGTCATTGTAATAACTGATTTATGCTTCATAGGAACTTGCTTGTATCCCATTTTACTGTTTTTGTATATTATAGTTTAAATTTATGACTTTGATTATGTCCAGGCCGAATCAAAAATGATAATCACATAATATCTGAAAACATATTTCATATGCCTTTTAAGCATTGGTCATCAAAATTTTCATGAGTTAGCCACCTAATAGATGCGTTTAAATTATGTACTGTATTATGCTGACTGTTGCGCACATTCTCTTCTGTTCCCAAGTACCTTAACCAGTTGCAGATTAAAAGTAGTACAGAATTTGATAAAATCAATTCATGTGATTGAAGGGACAGAGCTTCCTGCATACAACAGGAAGAAATTTTAAGCTTTGCCTTCCTGATAGAAAAAGTGACTTAAATTTTATCCTATTGGTTTTTACAGTAAGTTAGTCTCCCATTCTGCATGCAAAGGGAGAAATTGTTGCCATATTCTTCCTGCATAGAGAGCCCTTGTCTTTTCTCAACATAAAATGAATGCTAATCAATAAGCTGTATTTCTTTTCCCCTATGTTAATTGTGTGTCGAGTAGCATAATCACTACTTTACCAGTCAAGTTAATGATAATGATAGCAAGTGGAAGTGTAAAGAATTTCTGATAATCTTTTAGCAATAGCAATAGCACTTCAACTTATATATTGCCCCACAGTACTTTACAGCACTCTCTGGGCAGTTTACAGGGTAAGCATATTGCCCCCAACAATCTGGGTCCTCATTTTACCAATCTTAGAAGGATGGAAGGCTTGAGTCAGCCTTGAGCCCCATCAGGATTGAACTCCAGGCTGGGGCAGAATTAGCCTGCAATACTGCATTCTAACCACTGCACCACAATGCACATTTTTATTCCTGTTCTTTTATTATTATTATTTGCTTCTTGGCTCAATTCTGTTCTCGTGGAAGAATCAAATCATCCAATCTTGTTTGATGTGAAAGGAATCTAT